CTCAGGCAGTGTTATATCGAATCTATTATTATAAGCCGTACACTGGGGGGGGGGAGGGGGGTTACTGTTTTTTTCAAGAATGTCAATGATGGATCCAATTTTCAATAATCAGCTGATTATTTCTGCACAATCGGTGATCTGATTTACCAGTCTCTTTTTATTTGAAAATATATGCATATTCATTGTGTTTTTTTGCGCATGTTTAAGAATCGTATCACATTATAGAGCAGCAGCTAGCTGCTACACAAATATGTATAAATAAGATCTTGCATTTATCTTGGTCTCGATCCTCTTATCTCATGTACCTATCACTTCATGGCAAATACAATTATTAACTAAGTGAGAAAATTGCACTAATGCATGTGGCCCATGACCATGTAGCTGGATTATACATGCACCTTAAGCTGGATTTCCTCTTCCGTGGAAAACCTTGTGTGGAGAACCATTACTGACATGAGACAAAAGAAAATGTCATGAAAAAAGAAGTAGAAAACTTTTCAATTTGTAAATCAAACTGTAAATCAACCTAGCTTTGGACAGGAGGAAGAGACATGGTCACATGAATGCCAGAGATACTGTAGCTTTTCAAGTTTCATTTTAACGCTCAAAACTGGTAAATGTGTAAACAGAAATAATCAGTTTTGGCTGATTAATCAGCCAATTATTTGGTATGATCGGCCACCAATTAATTGAATCAGCTAATCGGTTTGGCTAGTATATAAAGTCTCGTTTTCACTATTGAGATGTTGGGTTTTAGCAAAACATGAAAACATTAGATTCTAAAGCCTACTGTAAGCTGTGACATATTTTCCAGAAGGGTGTATTTTGTTAGGGGTTGTCAATACTTATTAGGGGCCCACAGAATCGTTCACAGAGACCTTTTAACATCGAAATCTGTACAACAATATACTTGTGTGAACAGAGCAATAACACTCAGCCCGCCCACTTAGGTGTGGCTTAGGCGAGCCCGCCTTGGTTATTGCGTTTATATGGGAAATTCCCAGCCCGGTCACCCAAGATCTTGGGTCAGTCTAGGCGGAATATCTCTAAGGCGGGCCAGCTTGGTTCCCACATAAACATTCCGGTTCAGCCCCCGGTATTTAAAAGTTATTTCCTCAAACAGGAAGACATAAATTATGTTGTAATCTATATGAACTTATTCAAAGTAAATCTATTCCAGTATTCCGACATATATGTAATTCTCAAATAAGAAGATCCCAAAATGTCACACAGCTTCTCATTTATAGAACTCGAATATTTCGATGTTTCAAAATGCATGAAATATTTTACTTTCTTTCAATTAATCTAAAATTTATCACAATTTCCGCTATGTCTATCAGATATGTAATTTATGTAACATTTTTTAAAATGTTAAAATACAGTACAATACCTTGATATTTTCACAAGTTCTCGCGACAACTTTACATTCAAAATGAAACTGCGTCAATTTCTCGGAATAATTTATATACCACAGCATACAATATTCCCCATTTATTGCGTTAAATTAATATACTAAATTTAACTCCGTATTTGTACTTTGTCAGCTCAAAGCAAAACTCGAATGAAAACATCCGGTTTCCAAAGTCACGAAGCAGGAAGTTAAACCACTGATCTGTGTAGAGTTTAGACTTCCTGTTCGCCTCAAAAATATAGTAGAATTTCAAAACTTTTACCAAGAAAAGGTGTAAGCGTTATTATTATATAGCTTCGTTTGTTTCTTTAATTGTAAAGTACTACATGTATTTCACGATTTTCACTGTATAACATTTTATTTTTCTCAATTCAGAAGGTTAGTTGATAGATAATGTGTTTTAATTCATGTTTATATAAAATTAAATGTAGAACCAGGTTGAATGTTGTAATGCGTTATAAAGTTATTTAAATGTTACTTAATTTAGGTATTTAATGTATGTTGCGAGTTCCATAACAATGTATGTTATATCTAATATTTTCTATAAAGTATATTGTATAGTATAATTGTATATGGATACGAAATTGCAATATGAAATACAAATATACACATGAAGACAAAATGTTATAAAACAGAAACCATATTTTTGTAAAAGAGGGATATCTGTAAAAAAATTCTCGAAGTTTCTTCATCAGGAAGTTACTACCTTCCAGACGAAATGCCTTTGCTTGAAACATCAAAGTTCTGGGGGTTTTTGGTAGTTGTATATATATCCTTAACACCTGACAGCACATAACTTTATAGCCACAAAGTGTTGGCTATAAGGCTTTGTTTCAACAGCAAATTTTTCATGGACCAAACATAATACAACGATCAATTGTATTTTTAATTTAATTAAGTTTATAGATGCATGAAAAGTTTGCTATCCAAGCCAGGCCTAAGGCATATTAAAAGCAGGCATACTTTATAGCATGGGCAGATTTACTGGGGGGAGGAGGGTTAACCCCCCCCCCCCTAGAATCCTCTAACCCCTCCTATTTTGTGTGAAAGGCTTTAACTCACACACCTAACCCCTGCCGAAGCTCACTGAGTGGTGCAGCTTACACCCCACCCGAAAACAGGCAAACTTTATAGCCACCCTTAGTAATGAAGTAACCCAATACTCCATTGTATATACTGCATTTTTATGTAACAATATTTCATAAACTAGTTCATACCTCCAGATACATTAATTAAAATGAGGCTCTCGGGCCAAAGAGAGATTTGTGATGTAATTATTGAAATGGTGTATAATATATCAATCATAAAATTTTAAGCCGGCCTCATTTAGGTTACCAAGCATAAACATTAGAGACGTTCAAATTTGACTTCCACTCCTGTGGCCGCTAGCTCTCGAAGGCTTAGTATACATTTGATTGGTTAGTTGGGTTGATTAAATTAATCTGATTGGTTAATGATAGCAGTAGCAGTAGTGGAAGTCAAAATCTGAATGGTTGGTCGGAATCCTGCAACCCAATTTTTTTGGCTGCATTGCTGGGCATCTGGGATGTATATATACTAGAAATAGCTCCCAGAGAAATCCTCTCAATGTACATGTTTTTTCTATCGTTCCAGAGCAATGGCTACCGATATAAACACTCAGCTACGTAAACTTCCATATGGCAAGTTGCAGAAACTTGATCGTTACTTGGAGCCTGCCAGTGATAAAGACTGGAAGGCTTTAATATCTGTAATGCCAGAAGGACGATACGACAGGAGCAAGGTGGGTGATGTGCTGACCTTGAATTTTGATTGAGTATGGGGGGCAATCATTCTTGTGTGCTTCAGCCCCCTATTCCGACCCAGTGAGAGCAATAGCACAGCTTAGCCAGTTCAGTCGAAACATTTTACCGAGGGCTGTATCATGCCAAAAAAGTACACAAGATTTTTGGGAATTCGAAAATCCTAAGATACATAACACTGTTCATCTAATTAATTGTCTGTTGTCAAATAATGTCTTGTATACTTTTTCGAAGCCAGTATTACAAACACTGAGAACAAGTCTAAGGTGTGCACTGCTTAATTAAACTCTTGTCAAACGAGAACAATGAAAGTCGATGAGTGTTGCAACTCTAGCTAACATTTTACTGCCAACTCCCATTAACTCTAACTAGAGTTTATGGGAGTTGGCAGACTCTTGCTTCTCAACTATCATGCGACTCTTGTTCTCATTTGACAGAGGCATGAGAGTTGAGAAAACTCTCATGCAAACTCTCAATTCTCATTTTAATCCTAGGTTGATTTAATAGAAACTAACGGTGCAAAGAGAGGTGCCTCGTGCACCGCTATTCTTATCCAAGATTTGTGCCGATTGTGTGTGACCCTTAAGGAATTTGGTTGGTACTTAAAGAAGATTGAAAATTATGAAGCTTTGGAGGCATTGGGTTGGCCAAGTGGTATGTCTGCACTGATAGAGAAATTTTGTCTGTACTTTCATTGACATGTTGAGTAAATTAGGCTCTTTGTCTTGGAAGTCAAGGCCAATGCTACACCAGGCAACTTTTGCTACAACTTGCAAATTACACTCTGCATTTCACATTACGGTCCGAACATGTTTCAATTGCAATTTCCTTAATGCTCCCAACACATTTCAAATTAAATTCTATTTGCTGGTTTCTTGTGAAATTGTATCTATATTGGAATGTTCTACCTTATTATCGGAATGCTCCACCCCATTTCAAATGTATGAACGATTTGTGCATCAATCTACTTATCGTCTCTGTTCAAAGCCAGAGGTGGAATGAGTTCCCCAGATACAAGAAATGTTATTAACAAATTGGATGTTGCTCTATTTCAAACTGCTACTGGTCAAAGAACTTTCTATTTTTTGTTTATCAGTATGTGGTTGTGGTAATGTGGTTATTGTTGTTGTTGTCGTTGTTGCTGTTGTTGTTGTTGTAGTTGTAGTTGTTGCTGTTGTTGTTGTTGTAGCTGTTGTTGCTGTTGTTGCTGTTGTTGTTGTTGCTGTTGTTGTTGTTGCCGTTGTTGTTGTCGTTGTTGTTGTTGCTGTTGTTGTTGCCGTTGTTGTTGTTGTTGCCATTGTTGTTGTTGTTGCCGTTGTTGTTGTTGTTGTTGTCATTGTTGTTGTTGTTGTTGTTGTCATTGTTGTTGTTGTTGTTGTTGTTGTCGCTGTTGTTGTTGTTGTTGTTGTCGCTGTTGTTGTTGTTGTCGTTGTTGTTGTTGT